GTTGATTATTGGCTGGCAACAGTTTCCCTTGTTAATAATACACATGGTCCAGATTATTGATGATAGTTGATACTGATATTCCTGCATATGCCTCAGTAGCTGATATCATAGTGAATCAGAAATGTTTTTTTACTCTGGTTTTAGCACCAATATTGATTCTACGACTCCATCGTTCTTTAGCATGCCGCAAAGAACTTAAGATAATTTAATGAAGGTAGTGTTGAACCTACTTATGAACTCTTTGCATTATGCCCTCTGGTAGTATTGCACTATTAGGGCATAATTGAAAAGAGTTCATAATACTCCATCCTCCAATTATGATTTTTAATCTCTGGTCAGTTACTGTGACTACACTGTAGGATTGGTAGTGGTAGAATTGTCTATCATGGAGCACAAAACCATTCTTGGATGATGATGGTGATATGCATTGTCAATGCTCTAATCTCTTTCGGTCTAACTACTAAATTATTTTCGGTAAACCATGTTTCTGTCTATTGATATCTCATCAAGAACTAAAGATACTATAACACCAACAACAACAACAACAACAACAACAACAAAACTGTAAGTCCCAACTATTTGGGGTCAGCTATATTGATCTTTTGCTGCTATTGAGATCTGTAAAAAAACTTAAGACACTACTAATGGGATATTCTCTTTCTCTTATATGAGCATTCTTGTTATACTAGTTAACAGTCACGCTAGGATTTGGTGATCTTCATATAGCCTATTGATTCTACATTCATCTTTATGATGGGTAGCATTGATCCTCTGGTCGTCATAATTGATATGTTAATAGAATACATTAATCGTTAGAAGTTGGTTGTTTGATAACTTACAAGGTGTAGTGGATGTTTTGTGAATACTTTAGTCTGTGCAAGTTGTTGGTGGTATTAAATGCCACTGGGAGTATATTGTGTTCCTAGATTCAACTGTTCTTATATGTAACCAATTCTTGGTGAGTTAAGTTTGTGCACTTTTGCCAATATGAGATTATCTGTTGTTCTCATTGTTCTCCACTACCAAGTGCATGTTGGATTCCCATTCTTAGTTGCAATTTCAGTAGCTCTTGGATCTTTAGTTCATTTGTGTCAATGAGTTGATCATTTATATCATTGAGTTGACTATTCTGTAAGCTTGAATATGTTTGATTAGTAGATCTTCCTAGAAAATTGAATTCACAATTTAGTTATTGTTAAGACCCCCATTTTGTTTGACCTTCTCTTTAGAAAATGGTGTATTGAATGGGAATCGTTGTCTTTGATGTGTAACCTAGGAGTCTAATTTTACCCTCATTTCTGCTGAAAGTATTAGCGGCTTAAGGAATAACTACTTTATGATCGACAAGCACCTCAAGAATCAAAGCATCAAGATGCTACTGCTTTTACAGTCGCAAAGTATTGTGCTTTTTCAGGCATGGGCCTTTGGACATTGCTCGAGGGCCTTTTGCTCCTTGCAAATGCATTGGCGATACTGAACGAGGACAGGTTCCTTGCTCCCAGGGGATGGAACTTCAATGAAGTCTCAGGAGCTGCCAGAGCCAAGTCATTGAAGGGGCAACTAATAGGGCTCATTTACGCAACCCAGTATCTGAGAGTTCCACTAATTATTCTGAATGCCATCACCATTCTCGTGAAACTGGTTTCGGGTTAGCATGTAATGAACTCGGTCACATAGTCTTTGTGGTCTGCTTTCCTCGGAGCCATTTTTGTCCCTCAGGTGACTTTGTAGGTACACCATATAATAATCGGTCGGTCATTTTCTAGAATCTAGTCTTCGTATATATATCCTTGGAGATGCTAGAAAATCTATGCACGTCAAAGTTAAATTTCTCATCACAACTGGAGTTAAAACTGTATACTAAATAAGATTTCATTTCTTGTACGTGTGTTTGGAAGAGATTCATCATTTTTTGATCTTTAATCGACATCTATATTCATTAGAAGGTTTAGATTGTGATTGGGGTAAATTAGGTTGTATGACTGATGGTTATCGTGATTCAATACTTCTCAAGCCCATAAAATTGGTCCAAAAATTGATTTGCAAAGGTGCCAAAAGATTTTTGGCCTCGCAACTCCATAATAATGGTTTTATTTAAGAGAGTAATTAATGATGCATTTGAAAATACATTTAAAATGGTTCAATACACATTTCAAATGTAAATTAGTGTTTAGTTGTTACGTGGGAAATGCTCAAATGTTGATGTTACATCAGGATAGCATTTGCATTGCAATATTTGTAGGATGTTAATATAATTTTTTAAAATTTTAAATATATTTTATGATTTCATCTAAAATTATAAGATTATCAAAATGATTTAGTGAAAAATCAATGTGATTTATATTTTTTATTAAGTGAAATTTTATTTATTTATTTATATTTAATGATTATTTTATATTTATTTATATGATTAAATTTTTTATTTATTATATATTTGGGCCATATGAATTTTTTTTTATAAGATTACGTACATATTTATTTCTTTACTACTTAATTTAAATAAAAATATATTTATTTTTAAATAAATATTAAAAAAATAAATTTATCATAAAATATTTAATAGACTTTTTGAAATACAATTTTATCAAACAAAACTTACATCAATGCATATTTAAAAATATAGTTTTCATCTATTATTTATCAAATATTTAAAATACGTCATAATTGTATCGTTCACTTAAATTTGTTTTTTTTTTTTTTTCCAACTGCATATTTCTAAATATGTAAATGGTATTTCCAAACACGGCCGAAGTAGAATTGGAAAGGTGCGTACACTGCCCTACGTTTTTTGCATGGTTAATCCTTGGGAGGGTTTGCATTGTCCTCCTGCCCTTTTGATTTATCTTTTATTTTTTTGTTCTTGATCAAAATAAAACCGGTCTTTCTCGGATTCCCTGCCATCACTGAAACAAAACAACCCCAGCCTTTGTTCTCGGGAGGGGCGGCTTCCTGCCCTCTACAAACTCCGAAGAAACACAATGAAATGAAATATGGTCAATTTAATGCCTTTTTGGGGGAGAAAATGGGTGCAAGCGAGAAAATGTTATTACAAAGTTAAAGGGCTTCAACTTTTCGGAATTAGTTAGTATATTTACTCACTCCTTTAAATTCCTATATTTCATATATATCCCCTATTCCTCTAAATATTTAAATATTTCATACATGGCAATATCATTTTTATCATTTATCCCTGAGTTACTTAGGGTACATTTGAAAACACGTTTAAAATGTGCATTGAGGTTCCGATGTACATTTCAAATTGGTATTTGGTAATTTTTTTTTAAAAACATATTTGGTTTGGATGCCGCATTACGAATACTTAAATGTTATCTTAGGATTAACATTAGCATTTTATTATTTGTGGGATTATTATTATATAATATAAATTTTTTATTTATATAATAATAATAATAATAATAATAATAATAATAATAATAATAATAATAATAATAATAATAATATTCTTATATTATTATGATATTCTCTAAAATCACAAGATTATTATTATATAATAGAAATCATAATTCTTATTTTCTCTCCCCTTCTCTTTCATAAATTTTATTTATTTTTGAAATGTTGTCCATTTATTTTTAAAGTTTATTTTATATTTCTTTATTTTACTTTCATTTATATTTTTTTATTTATTATATATTCGAGTCATACAATTTTTTTGTAAGATTATTTATATCCACTCATTTATTTATTTTATTTATTTACTTATTAATTTAGATTATATATATATATATAATATATATATATATATATATATTCACTTTTGAATAAATATTAAAAAGATAAATTTGTTAGAATTTTAAAAATATAATTTTATTAAATAATATTTTTAAAATATAATTTTCATCTATTGTTTATCAAACGCTCAAAGCACTCTACAACTGCAATGTTCAATTCAACTTTTTTCTCCAAACACATATTTATAATGTAAATGTGTTCTCAAATGCAACCTCAAGCTAATTACTATTGGTAATGGTCATTATTAAATTTTAAAAATTAAAATTATAAATACAAAAAAAATCTTTTATTACTTTCATTCATTTCTTGATTCCTCATCTTGTTTGATATTTTTGAAAGTAATAATTGATGGAGATTAACAATGATAACATACCTGTAATTTTTTTAAAAATTTCAGGATATATGAATAATAAAATTAAATTTAGGGATATATATATATATATATATATATATATGTGTGTGTGTG